ACATACATACATACATACATACATACATACATACATACATACATACATACATACATACATACATACATACATACATACATACATACATACATACATACATACATTACATACATACATACAATACATACATACAATACATACATACATACATACATACAATACATACATACAATACATACATACAATACATACATACAATACATACATACAATACATACATACATACATACATACATACATAATGAAGAAGGGTCGATTTACAGGTTTCTCTTTGTGTCTGTTGCCTATATCTGACTATCTGTCTTTCTGTCTAAGATAAGTCCATTGTCAACTTGACTGAAGAGTCAGTTTACAAATTTATGTCGGTATCTGAGGCCTTTTATATTATCATCTGTCTGCTTGTTTAAGAATAATATAAGCTAAGTTCAATCGTCAACTCCGCTGAAGGGTCAGCTTGTAAATTTATGTTGGTGTCTGTATTGTATCCTATATTATTACCTTTATTGTTTGTCTGTCTGTCTGCCTGCCTGTCTGTATTTCTGTCTGTCTGTCTGTCTGTCTGTCTGTCGGTCTGTCTACTTTTAATTGTCAACTTGACAAAGGGGTCAGTTTACTATTTTTGCCTCTTTATCTGAAATTAGTCTAGTGGTAAGGCAAATAAAGTTGTGTCCTTGGGAAAGACACTGTGCACCCACGTGTGATTGGTTAACCTGCCATAGACAGCGACAGATCTTGTCAGTATGTTAGTGTTTTAGCGCCTAAAAAATTGCAGCTTGCACTGTATGCTTCCCAGGAAGTTGAGATTGTTTCAGAATGCTTTCAGATCTGTTCAAGTAATAACACAGATTGTAAAGTGCACATAGCTTGCTGGTGAGGAGAAATGTGAACAACAGAAGTGCTATCTGTTATGTGTTGATATTATTATTACTCGTCTGTCAAAGGTAAATGGCCAAATTGGCAAAAGGTTCAATGTACAGCGTACTGTTTTTATCTACCCATCTATCTATCTATCTATCTATCTATCTATCTATCTATCTATCTATCTATCTATCTATCTATCTATCTATCTATCTATCTATCCAGAGGTAGCGTCGGTAGCTTAGTTGCTAGACAACCAGACTCGTAATCGTGAGGTTGCGGGTTCAGGGTTCAAGCCTCAGCTCGGTCTGACGTTGTGTCGTTGGGAAATGCATTTTACACGAATTTCCCATTTTGCGTGGTCTTTTCGGAGATAGACATTAAAATTGTGTTGATTCGGACGTTAAACCTATACCATTTCATTTCTGTCTATCCATCCACCCATCCATCCACCCATCTATCCATCCATCCACCCATCCACCCATCCACCCATCCACCCATCCACCCATCCACCCATCCACCCATCTATCTGTTCATCCATCCACCCACCAGATCGCTCCCTCCATCCATCCATCCTTTCATCCTCCCACCCATCCATCTATCCACCCATCTATCCATCCACTCATCCATCCATACATCCATCCATCCACCCGTCGATCCATCCACCCACCCTCCAGATCGTTCCCACCATCCATCCATCCATCCATCCATCCATCCACCTACTCATCCACCCACCCATCTATCCATCTACCCACCCACCCACCAGATCGCTCCCACCAGCCACTAACGAGAGCTCGGTGGAGAAGGTGGAGAGAATGCTAGCCCTGACTTACAAGGCGCGGAGCCTGCCCAAGTACAACAGACTGTACTGCTCCTGGGGCAGCTACTACTGGACGGTGTGCCCGGCCTCCAGCACTAGGATCACCAGCATGGGAGTCTGTAACACTGTCAACGTGAGGGAACTCTTCAACAGGACCAACGAGTCAGTTCATCTCTGTGTGTGTTGGGGATGTGGGTGGTGTGAGGGGAGGGGGTGTGAGAGGGGGGGGGGGTGTCTGTGACACCGCCAACCTGAGGGAACTCTTCAACAGGACCAGAGAGTTAGTTCATCTCTATGTGTATTTGGGGGGGGTGTGAGGTTGGGAGAGGGTGGTGTCTGTAACACCGCCAACATGAGGAAGCTCTTCAATAGGACCAACGAGTCAGTTCATTTGTTTAAGTGTGGATGGGTGATGTGTTTGTGTGTGTGTGTGTGTGTGTATGTGTGTGTGTGTGTTTGTTTGTTTGTGGGGTTTTTGTTTGTTTGGTTTGTGGTCGATTGATTTTGTTCGGTGGGTCGCTTTTTTGGTTGTTTGGGGGTTGGGGGGAATTCAAACCTTTCTTTGTCTTTTTTCCTGTGTCTGTCTCGGTGTCTTTCAGTCTGTGTCTCTGTCTGTGTGTGTGTGTCTCTCTCTTTATCGCTCTCTCCTTCGTTTTCTCTCTTTCTCTCTCTCTTTCTTTCTCTCTCTCTCTCTCTCT